AAACTAATTAATTCCTTTTCCGCCGGTAGAATTTCAAAGTTTTTAGGCTTTATGTATTTAGCAAAAACCTTATTATTTACGAAAGATACCGGACTGCCGGTATCGACTAGCGCATCTAAATCGCATTCTTGATTACAGATGCTCGTGATTTTAGTCGTCGGCTGGGACAGCTCTAATCTGTCGTCTGTTGGTTCTGCGACGATTGCCACGACGTCATCGCTCGATGCCGCAGACGAAACAGCTGCTGCTGTATAGCTCGTCGCGTGACGTGCTTGCAGCGTCGGCTTCCCGTCGCCCTTGCTCTTAAGCACGGGGCAATCGAATTGACGGTGACCCTTCGCTTTGCAATAAAAGCAGTTGGGGTCATCTCGACATTCTTTATGAGAATGCCCTTTCTTCCCACAATTTCGGCACAGATTACTGTTAGAGTTTCTCGACGCGTTCACAGTTGAACCGGGTTTTCTTTCGGTATCGAGTCCACCTTCCGCGATACGGCGCATTTTACTAAAAGTCCTCAATCGAGTCGCCGGCGATCGAGAGAGCTATGGCTCTCAGCGAACTCTGTGTAATTCCTCCGATAAGTAAATGAATTACGTCCTTTGTCGGCAAATTTAAATTATTGAGTAACGCGAGTTTGGCTATCGCGTACTGGTCGAACGTTTCCCTATGCGCGTTCCACTTCCGCGCTTCGACCTTCTGCATAGCTTTATAGTACGGCACTTTTTTATCGAACATCTTATTTAAATCATTTTTTAGGGCTAGCCAAGACCCTATTACATCTCCCGTTTGGATTTCATACCATTGCCGTGCGAACTTCGTCAATTTACTGGACGCGGCCAGCAATGTAATCTCGTCCGACGCGCCGTGAATGACGGCAACTTGGTCGACCCGTCTCGACCACACGGTAACGTTTTCGTCCTCACCGCCACTAAATTCAGGTATTTGAGAGACCAACCAACTGACTGCATTTCTCGCCGGTAACGTATGCGCACTAATATTCATTTGTCCGTTAATCGCTGAATTAAGATTGTTCGACACATTACCTTCATTGCGGCTTAATGATTCAGGGCTACCTGGGTTTGCCTCTCCGACTGACTGGACCACCTGGACGTTTCCCGCCCTCGGCGCCAGCTGCTGCAGTATTTGCATCATGAACTGCTGGTTCTGCTGCTGAAGCTCCTGCTGTTGCTTCAGGATCGACGTGGAGATGTCCGACATCGCCTGACGGAACATCTCCGACGTCAGCGGCTCCGCCACGATCGTACGCCTTGCTGACGATGCAGCTAGGACGTGGACTTCTCCAACTGCCTGTTGCTCATCCAACGTCCTTTCCGACGGCCCAACCCTCTCAAGGTGGGTGAGAATATGCTCAATGAGGAGGTCTCGGTCTTGAATTACCGGTATTTGATACCGCCGAGCCTCCCTTTAAATTACTTCTAAAGAAGCTTGCTCTAGATCTTCTCGATCGAGCATAGATCTTGTCTTTGGCATTACGATAGTTCGTTACGACTCGACAATGTCTTTAAAATCGTCTTTATTTTTTCTAGACTCAAAAAGCCTTTCCGACTCGACACGGCAGCGATTTTATCGACTTCGACACTTCGCGGCTTGAAAAGCCCTTTTTATTCTCGGCACGACACGGCAATGTTCGTACTTTTTTTTTTTTTTTTTTTTTTTAATTTCGTACTACGGGTTAAATGAGCCCGTTATCCCACTTCTGAGTTGTAAGACTCTGTACTTTCTTAATAAAG